CCGTTTACCATCTAAAGTACAAAACAATGAATTACTGTCCTCAGTGGATCTGATTACGGATTTTCACTTAGCGATTACTGTACATATTTGTCCAACGCAAACTGCCTGTGTTTCATAATGGAAGTCACACATTGCTTTGACAGCTGGACGCTCAAAGCGCTGCACTTTTCCGGATTCGGATTTGCATCTGTCTAATAGTGAGGCTTTCTGTAAACGCAGCGCAGCTCGTTGACCCTGATACGTCTCGTTGATCTTGAGAGGAATCTTAGCCTATAAGTGTGGATGTATGGCGTGTGTGAATGTACGTGTTGGCTGTGATTGATAGTAGGCATTGTTTTGACGCCATGTGGTAAGCGGTTTTTGTAACGAGCACAGAGAGAGCAGCAGTAGCTGCTGCTGCGTCTCGACATCTAACATGCTCCCTAGTCGATTTTCTGACCTGGTCGTCATCGCATACTCAACGCCACCACCACCGGCTGTGGGGTGGCTATCGACGACGTGAGCGCTAATATAACACATTATAAACACGTGCGCAGGCTTATAATAACTGCCTCATTGGTTTTGAGTGCTTTTTGGCCACTTGTGAAGAGAGTGTAAGAGGCGGATATGACGACAGTAGGCGCGCGTTTTAGTGGAATAGTCGGACACGCGAGCAGAATGAATTTTGGCTTCTGGGGAAAGGAGGGGATGTGCCAGGAAGCCATCAGCGTACCATGAACTTCCAAAAGAACTTGCAGTTAGGGACGAGATCAGTTTCTCGGGCGCTGTTTTACAGCTATGTCCCCCCAATCGGGCGATGGGTGCTTATTTATAACGGTAAAACAGCGCCCGATCAGATTTCGGGAGATTGCTGAACATCGCCTCTGAGGAAAACTGCATGTCCATTCTTCAGTGCAATATTTATGCACAGATATTTCCCTATCGTACCACAACCTGCCGAGAGGAGTTCGTTGCCTATATTTTGGGACGGTCTGGATGCCTCAGCGCCCGTACTAGGGACAACGAGCATCATATAATGTTCTTCGTGCCAGTTTCATAAAAAGCGACCAAATCGCTGGCGCGCTCAGCTCGGCGACGTCGGCGCTTGTTTGAGTGGGCGCTAGCGAACGGTACGCGATTAAATTCGTCGTATAATTGTTATGCGCCTCCTCATAGACATAGACCGCATTCACAGAAGAAGACAGTCGGCTGGTTAATGTGTGCGTATGTAGGATGTGCGCGGGCCATTACAGAAGAAGAAAACCACGTCATTGTGGACGACTGATGAATGTGACTACAGAAACGTTATGGTACCGTGATGGTCGTTTCGTTTGTAGGTGAGATAGGCTTGTTGTATCAGAATGGTCCATTTTCTGGAAAGCTCTGTACCCCTTCTTATATGGAAGCGGTTGGGAACTGTTAACTAGCCCATTGCTCAAGCTGCAGCCTTTACGATTTGAGCGTTTCCGAGAAACAACTCTAGATATAGCTCAGATCGTTCTTCATATCGTTTGAAAACGCTGATTGGTCCACAGAAAAGAATACGGTCTAGATTGGGTTCACAGTTGAAGCATTATGAGCTGGCATTTACGCAATGGTACTGAAAACCTCCCAAACAATATCGACATAAAAGTCTAGATACCCGGACTTGCTTAGGTACTGCTTTGAAGCGCATATAGAGTAAAAAAAAGCCGGCCTTTAACTTGATAACTTCACTAGGAAAAATAATTTATCTTCTTGTACTACATTTTTGTCAACTTTGAATTAATAAGTTTTTAGAATATGATGATATAACGAATATGATGATGTCAAACTATTCGCACTCTATTCAAAGTTAGCCGTACTTTAGTAAATGGATCGCATTAAGGTTCTCTCTTATCTTAGTTTAAAATTCACTTTTTTATAGGAACTCAAAAACAGCTGTTTGAGTTCTAAGATTGATCTGACTGATCCGACTTTTCTAGCTTATCTAGTCAAGTCCATCAAGTACTCCACTTTGGCCACTCCTGCGTACTTGCAGTAAGAAAAAAATTCCAGAAACTTCTACAAGTCCCTGACAGACAGAATCTAACAATATCTTGTTTTCTAGTTAGCTACAAAGCTACAAAGCACATTCTTGCTTGTTTGCTAGAACCAGACAAAAAGCAATTTTTGGTTTATGACTTTGTTCTACAAATAAGTTCTGGTACATCCGGAAGTTAGACCTTCTCAAATGCTCACATGAGTTTTCTTTTTGGGCTGTGTGTATCACTGCCCGTTTTTACACTTAGAAATCGTGAGAAGTTTGACCTCTAATGAGGGATACAACCTAGAAATGATTGCTGAAGAGTGCGATCAGCTGACCTCAACCAGATAATTCTCAGAGATCGAAGTCTATGTTAATTAGTGCGATTTTCCGCATGGTTCAAGATCAAGACTCCTGATAGTCAATGGCGCAAAGTCGGCGCGACTTTTTGCTGTCGTGGCGAATCGCCTAATTCGACGTTGATTCGCGGCGAGAGCCTGTAAGGTGTGCCGCCGACGTCGCCAGCACCGACCACATCTCATCATAAGCCGTAGTGACGTTAATTCGCCGATGGGAGACGTCATCAGCCATGCTGGGCACGGATTACGGTTTGTGTCTGTCTCCTTGTGACCGGAGATTGGAGCAGATGATGTCGGTGTGCTGGGTAACTGTAGTAGAGGGACGTAAATAGTGAGTGCGTGGTGGAGACGCTGAACGATATGCTTGTCGGTGTGCGTTCTGCATACACAGACGCTGCTGTATAAGCCAAATATCTTTTCCGGTCGATTGCTGCGCTGTCTCTGCCTTTGGCTTTGAGTCTCGGCCCTCGTCGAGTATCTAATTGCACGATTAGAGCCGTATAGCTAACAAAGGCGGGGAGCGTCAAGAATTGACACTCTTCGAGTGATTGTCCCGACAGACTTCAGCGGAAGCGAAAAGAGGGAAGTTAGGGGGATTTTGAGCGCAGTACAAGGGAAAAAATTAATTATATGGTACCCCTTCCTTACCCCTTCTTCTTCATCGGAGTGAAGCTTTGCGGGAAAGGGGTAACTAAAACTTCAACCAGATGACCCCGCTTAGGAACATGGCTCAATTTGAGACTCTTGAAGCGGAGTTGAAGCAACTCGAATTGCTGAAAAAACATATTATATACAAAAGTCTAGTCGCTGCAGCTCCGCTTCGAGCACTTGGAAAGCAAGGAATATCGCAGATGTGATTGATATTTCCATCAAGGGTCATGTGATTGAGGATTCATTCACCCTTGCCTCTTTGAGCTTCAATCGATGAAGACGGAAGATAAGAAGAAACGCATTTTTGGCCGATTGGTCAAAAAATGTTAAAGGGTTTTTTTATAACAATCTCGGCGTTCTCTTGTTGACTCGAATTGTCGTTTTTCAATCAATGTCGATTTGTGTACAATAAGCCTTCCTCGCTGCTGTTCCTTAATGTCAGAATCTGTCTTTGCGGCTATCACACACACAACGACGGAAATCTCGTCGTGAGTGTTTATCGCCTTGCACACACAAGCACTGTCGCCCAGCGCAAATCGCGGGCGTACGGTAGCCGAAGACGTCGTTAGTTGTGTGGTTGTAGCTGATGTTGAGCAGCGAACGACAAATCGTAGAGAAGCTGTAGCTGCGGTGGCTGCGTGGTTGGGGACCGGTTACTGACAAGCAATTCGTCGTCATTGTCGTCGTCGTCGCATGTTGACATAGCACGGCAAGCGGATATACCGTAACTCCGAGGCTTTGACAACAGCATCCGACGTCGGACGTGTACTTCCTGGCTTTCACATCGAATACGCGCGCAACTGTACGACTGTATCAACTGTACTTTGTCGATGTGAACGTGTGTTTGAACAAATCGACAGCGATTAACGGGTTGAGCACCCATCTTAAAGTGCAGCTACTGAGGAAGCTGATTAGAAACTGGGGGACTGTATGCCACCATGGAGTAGAAAACCAGGCGCTGGTGGATGATGGACCTAGGCTGGCTCCAGGAGTGCTGTGTGCCGCAGTTCTGCCAGCGCCATTTCATCGCCGTGGTAGCACCCGTGCCAGAATCGACGTTTACGCGCCCTGTATTGATCGATCGACGTACGACACGGAGCTAGCACGACGGTGGTGTGGCGCTGGAACTGCGTTGACATGGCGCTGACAGCAGCAACTCTGGAGCCTGAGGTTTTGTCCGGCGCAACTATAAGGACGGATTAGAGACCCCATTTTATGACGGAGTCATCTTGTAACCTAAGACTGAGGTGGTAGGTTACTAGGCTACTCAGATCGCCAGGTAGGGTTGCTGTTTACTGGTAGCTGTACTGGTAAGCATCTGAACGTACTGGTAGCCAGTATCGCTTATCCTCTCTGCTATTTCTTTGCGCACCAAGGCTACTTATTGTTACAAAAATGTTGAATCGGGCAGTATTATCGCTTTGCATCGTCGAAGACACCCCAATCTTGTTCGCTATAAATGCAACGTCTTCGTCTTCACGACTGTATCCGATTATCCAAGATTACGACCTAACTTGCTTTGTACGATGAAATCCGTCAAGAAGACGATCAGTGCATTGAAATGAATGCGCTGATCGCTAAGAGGATCCACACACCAAGTGAGAATGGGAGTCTAAGCATGCGATTATCGCGTTTCGGTCGCCAAATAGGCTTGCGATTGGCGGCGCGACTCAGGGTGCCGCCGTCGATCGCATCGCAGTCATCTCCTCGAAGACGAGGCGAGGACAAGTGCGCACACATTATCTGCGCGCATCGCATTGACTGAGGAGGATTAGCATCTGAACGATGTGGATCATTGAGTGATAATCGACGAGGGACCGAATAGATTTTTGTTCGGCTTTTCTGGCTATAAAAAATTAAAAAATTGGGGTTGAAAATGGAGGTGAGGGTTGAAAAGAACCAAGACTATAAGATCAAAAAAGGGCGCAGGAAATCTACTTTGATAGAACGCATAGAGTTGCTTTTTCGAAAAAAAAATAAATTTGAATAAAGAACATTCTTTCCAGGATCGAACTCTCTCAAGACTACCTAGGAAGCTCAAAGAAACGAGAAAAACCGAAAAAATCTCTACGAACGGCAAAGGTCCAACCGCAGAACAACTTTCGTGGCTTCGATCTTGTAGAACGGGGGATGTCAAGAAATGCAAGGAACTCTTGAATTCTAATGTGAGACTGATTTTCTGACTTTTCTTCTGTCTCTTTTGACATTTTTTTTGTTTTCAGCCAGAAATCCTCAATTATATTCCTCCTTACCATTCGAATTATTCTGCTGTACACATAGCTACCAATGGACGACATTACAATTTGTTACGGTTGCTCAAAGAAAAGAATGCTAATTTCAATGCGATGACTAAGGTACTGCACCTCTTAGCTGGGAGTTGAAACCTTTGAGTACGTTTTTACAGGCAGGTTACACTCCTCTTCATTTAGCTGCTCAAAACCAAGATATGGAAACGGTGCGGATGCTCATACATGAATTTGGTGAGTATTTACTTTTTACTTTGCTCATTTTTTCAAGATTTTTGAAATTTGGTAGTTTTTGCACTTATTTCCGGGTCTATTTTTGAGACGCTTTGCTCAGTCTAGGCTTTTCTTCGATGGAACACTTTATAGCTGAAGTATTTCTTGTTTGACTGCTCTGTCGCGCTGCTAAGCGTCGCAAAAAGCTTGATCGACTGCAGCCGATGAAGTCTCGAGTGTTGTCTCATATCATTTGAACGCGATAATCGCTGAGCTGAGCAGGCAATACGATCGGCTCGAGCAGATGTTTGCATTCGCATTCGATTGTCGCGCGTTCGCGCAACGCCTAAAAGCACGCCGCGCAGCTCGTCGAGTTAGCATGCGGTTGAGCGCGGCTGCGCAGCGACGGCGGCGGCGTCGGCGTTGACGTCGGCGTATTGACAGTAACGGGTGCGCGCGTTAGCAAACAGATTAACACCGGTCAATGGGCTACCGTACACGCGGCGCGAATTGCGCGGATCGTCGAGAGCAGCTCAGGTTTCGTATTCGCAGCATCAGAAGCGATCGCGCCGTGCTTATAGTATAGAGTTGACACGAAGAGTCTCCGCGGCGGCGGAACGCGATAGAAGATTGATCAAACAGAGGAGAAGTTCGGCTGCTCCCGCTTAAGGGGTTAATCGCTGTGATTGATGCGAGGTAGGAGTACACATGACAAACGGAAGAAACGTTGCTCGACTGACAGGTGAGCTGAGCTGAGAGTTGGTGATCAGAGGGAGGAACAGGGATCAAAACTCGGAGGCGAAGGATCGCTTCAGAATTTTCAAGGGAATTTCTTGGCTCAAATCAAAGAAAATGTTTCAGATGTGGATCCGAAAATTCACGATCTTATGGGCTACACCTATGAGCATTATGCCGATTGGCTAGACTATCCCGATGACGATCTCACCTATCAACTTCTTTGCAGAGGTAAGCCGGCCTACCTATTCAATTTCTTTTTCTAAAATAATGGCTCTCCTCAATCACATGTGCATGGAGCATGTTTCTCGTCTATTCCCCCTTCCCCTCCCCTCCCCCCTTGTAATGATCCTTTTCATCAGTGAGCAGGTGGGTAAAGTCCTGACGTTAGGACTGGTATCCTAGCGCTATCGCCGCCATCGCATCGAGGCGATTGTTGAATTGCGGCTGCTGCTCGCGATTTATTTGATCAGACCTTGTGATTAGCACTGAATCGATGTGAAATACACACATTGCACACTCTCACAACGACAATGGACAACAATTGGTGAAAAGCGGTTATTTGGGGGACTGGCGTTCAATTTAATTTAGGGCGGGATGCTTTGGAAAAAGTGGGACTTGTTGGGGAATCTATTTGTGAGAGATGTGGAAAAAAAGAAGTTAAATGTACTGTTGCATAAGTCCTTCCCTAGTGAATGCTATGATTTCTGGTTTTTTTTTTGATTTTTTGCGAATTTTCTTTTTTGAGAAGAGCTACAATATGAACGCACCTACGCACCCACTTATACCCTTACGTTTTGGTTCCGAAAATTCAGAAGCTTTCTAAAACCTCAAATTCACAACATATTTAAGGAAAAGAGGTTCCGAGCAACGGTATGATTGATGTCGCAACCGCACAGATAGCCAGCAAGTCTACGACATTGCTATATGCATACTCAGTTTTCCTTTTTTTCTTTGGGCTTTTCCCTGCCTTTCCTTAAGCTTTTTCTCTTGTACTCACTCCTAAAGTAGCAGTCGGTTCCTTATAGCTTCTTGTCGGTAGACGAAAAAGTATCACAAAAAATTGGAAAGATTCGATATTTTTTCACATATACTGTTTAGAGATGACTATGGAAGGCATAGCAGTAATTCTGATTATCTTCAAAAACATCTTCCTGATTGAAATGCCAATAAAATTGGCGGTCCAACAGAGATAGTACTCCCTTATATATCCTACCGTTCCCACCCAGCTCCGTGCACCCCCCCCCCCCCCTCCCTCTTCCTCCGTTCCAAATGGCTAACCTCATCATAAGACACTCTGTTTCTCTGAGCGAATCGTGTCTAAGCAGCTCTAAACAATAAGAATGAGAAGTTGTGATTGATGTGCTGTGAACATATGCTGCTGCTGTTCGCAGAGGTATGAGTGTTGAGAGCGATGTATTCGGGTTGATGGATTAGGTGTACGTAGTTTTTGTCTTCACAAAGAAATACTGTGTTCTAAAGGGTATGATTGATCGCAAACGATTTAGCAAGAGGGGACCAGGTGCAGCTCAGAATCTTAGGAAATTGAGTAAATTTGAGATGTAGAGTATTAAAAATTAGGTTTGCGGTTGATCGGTATTTATTGCTAAATTTTGAGTGAGACCGCTGTTTTGGTAATTTCTGGTCGATTCATTCCATTCCTACCGTATCTTACATCAGAAGAGTTTGTCTAAATAATAGCACCATACCATTTTAGTACAGATGCTGATTACATAAAATATCATACAAAATCAGCGGTTTCGTAACAAAAGCTTTTTTAATACAGAAGTTCATTTTGATAATGGTTTCAGCTGTCAAATCTCAAAATAACCAGTTATTTAGTATTTCAAAATATCGTCTTGGCTCCATTATGTTAGAAAACCTTGACCTGAGAAAAACTTTTTCGTGAACTTAAGAGCTCCGGTAATTTGTTCCACTTGTCCATATCATGCCTCCTCACCCACGGACAACTGGAACAAATACCGAAGCGACAAGTTTGTGCAGCTGTTGATCATAAAAGCATTGCGAATGTAGACACAGCCGTTTTACGAATTAGCATTTGTTCGCGTGAAAGCACGATGTCACTACTAGTGGATAGTGCTAATCCTGAAATTTTAGGGGAGGAGATGGGGGGGGGGGTCGTGATATTCAGGAATAGTATGGTTTGTTCGGAGATTCTGCCCCAATTGGAAAGGGACTGTAGAGGAAAATGTAACTGTCACGGTGTAATGAATTTAAGTTTTTTCTACAATAATTTTTCTTGGCACTCTTCACTCATTCCCTTCCCTCCCAGTGCATTCAAGCCTTTGTAGTTTTAACTTTAGAATTCAAAGTCTTGATCTAACTGAAGAATGAAATTATTTTAGGGGCTGGTTCGAGAGCCTCATCCAGACAGCCTTCGATAGGTTCACAAGAATCTCTCGCTTCATCCAAAAACTCACTCAGCCGCCATGGATCGATACGCGGAACGATCCGCGGTTTTCTACAAAAATCAAAAAATTTGCGCTCTCGAAGTCCGTCCTTGACGCAGCTCACAATTTGATTGCTAAGCATTGTTGTTGAATTTGTTTTCAATTCAGTAAATTTTCACCAATATTTCATTCCGAAAACATCTAAGAGCAGGTGCACGGGTACACAGGCTACCGTAATTTCTATGTACCATAACATGACTATTCTAATAATTGTCGGTTTATCGCGTACAGGTGCGATTGGGTGTGTGTTTCGAACTGGTCTCTGACCCATGAAATCGCGAAAAGAAGCCGCTATTGGCGGCGGCAACATGCGTGTACGTACAGATAAGTGAGATTAGATGGTCCGGTGAGGGCAAGCCAGGGACCAAGTCTTTTGATACAAGGTACTTTCGGTAGCAGTTTGAATGGGGTCGAAACAGGGCTCAAATATTTGGCTTATGTTTTTCTGCTGCAGATTTTCTGCCTTACCGCGATGAGGTTTCAAAAATTAGCAGGTAGCCCAAAGTCTATATAACATTTTCTAAAAGCCAAAAATTTACTACTATAACAAGGTTTTGTAACAATGTTTTCGCATTGTTGAGGCTTAGTGTTCCACGCTTTGATTGGTTGATCGCAATTATCGATTTTTTCGTAGCCTATCAGCACCTCGGAGAAGTGATACAACCAGAGATTGGTAGCTCTTAGCGGTTTTTCAATAATCCTATTTAGTCTATATTACAGTAAAAAAAGGTGATCTCGCTTCATGCTACTTATTTGATCACTATGGTATGAATGGTGTACTCTAGATCTGATTGGCTGAGAAAAGACCAATCAGCCAATCACAAAAAGCTCCGCAACAGTGTCATTTAAGGTTTTAATGTAAACTGCTTCTCATGCCCTACATATATTTTTTTGTCAAAGCAAGAATTTTTCCGGGAAAAGATGAACAGTTTACCAACCAGCTGCTCTTTGCTAACGTTCCTACTTAGTTGATTTAAGCGTTTGCCCGCGCTGATTGGCTGATCGTGTTATTGATATTTAATCTGCCAATCCCGAGCACAGCACTTTTTCACTAATTGCTGTTTGTATACCAGCACTTCCCTTTTGCTTATAGAAGTCATTTTCCTCAAAAAATCCAATCTTTTTATTTTTGCATTGCCCAGGAAGCTAATACGCTGATGTTTGACGTGACCAGCACTTCCCACAATTCCCAGAGGAACGAGTGCATGCATGGATGGCACACGTCGTCACAATGTTGAGCACGATGTAATTAAGTGTTCAATACGCCTGTTTAGCATAATTTCGATTAAAATGCACGCGTAATAATCGCGCTGGCCCGGAGGCGATCGCCGCGCGTCAGCGGCTTAAATGAAAATTATCGCCACACAAGAACTCATGTGCTAAAGAAGAAGAAGAGTGACGATGTGACGGCGTTAGGGCGCTGATAGGCTCATGCGCTGAATGAAAAATTGCCCGCGAAATCTGAGGATTTCATGAAATGAAGCCGAGGCTGAATTTTATGTGAACATGCTAATGCTGAACGATGAGAGGAGCTCAGATTCAGCAGCAGCGATTCATGATGGGTGTGAATAATTTGAATTTTGTGGAAATCTGAGGGATGGCTGACTTTTGGACGAAAGCTTGAGGAAAATAGAGTAGGGGTTCTGAAATTTGAAAATATTAATATCATACTTCATTTTTTCCGAGAATAGATTGGTTGATCAATGGGATTAGCACATATGTAGTTAGTTGCCAGTGTAGAGAAGGGGGGAGGGGGAGGGGAGACAATGAAAGTTCACATGACTTTCAGAGTGATTTACATGGTTCGAAAAGAATCTATTATATCCCAGTTGTTTGATCTGTTGGTATCGAGGTTATAAAAATTTCATCGAAAATATTTAATTAGCTCAAAAACTTCGTAAAAATATTTTCGGGGTGTTCTTCAGGGTTACACGAGTTTGATTCTGCGAGGAATTCATATATCATTTTAGGATTATCTTCAGTGGTGTCGCATCAATAACAGTAGCTTTCGATAATTCAAAACCATTATTTGAAACCAAATATGCCGTCAATAACTTTGAAAGTTCAAAAATAAGACGGTAGGCGAATTTCGAATATTGAATTTGATAGTGGCAAATAACTGCATATTCGAGAGCTACCCCCCGTCCTCTCCCCTCCCCTCCCCCACTAAAGAAAGTTTTGGGACCGCCACTGGAGAATGTCTAAGCTTTACATCGTATCTATATCCACACAGGAGCGATCTTAATACCGTAATCATACCGTACCTATGCGATTATATTCTGTAGCCTTGTCAACGTGTGTGAAAGCAAAAGAGAAGTTGATGAAACTTGTAAATATAAGAAGTAACTTCCTTGCTCATGAACTCGAATTTTATCAGAAATATACCCCTTTTTCTACAAAACAGTGCAAATCTAGCCTCTACCTTAAACAGTTGCTAACTCGTTATCTCTCCCGGATATAAATTTCTCCGTTAAAAGTGTCGAATCACAGAAATCGGGGGGGGGGGGGGGTGATGTTTGCTTGTCGCCGTACTCTTACTCAGCCCGTCTCCTTCTCACACAAGCTGCCTCGTCCTTATCGCGCGGTTGCATCGCTTCAGCCTGTTGAGTGGATGTTCACACTCTCCGGCTATTAAAAGCCGGCACAGCTCGGCTGAATGACGGGGAGCTTCTTGGACGGGTTCTCAGAGAAGTGAGGGATCGGCTGAGTAGAATTCGCTAGTGTTGAAAAATCCAGCTCAAAAATTGGAAGAGGATAGAGGAAGATGAAAGAGGAAAATGGAAGCTAAGAAATGCCTAATCAAGCTCAAAAAATTATAAAAATTCATTGCAAACTAATGCACTGGAAACGCAAAAGTGCTAAACTGACCACATATGGTCGCATTTAGGTTGAAGTGCAAAAGGTGCGAAAATGTGAGCGCCGAGGTCCATTTTGACACACAGGCCCTATAATCAGTGTCCATTACGGTAATTATAGCCGAATGCGTCGGCGCGTGCGTAAATCGAAAAGACTCGCCGACATCAAAACGCGGGTATGTATCCGCACACCACTCGGGGTGTCCCTTTAATAAGGTATCTGATTTATCTATTCAGTCGGATATGTTGTATTACCTTGTTAACAATGAAACCACATGTCGGTAATGGGATAATGAGCAAGGGGGGGGGGGTACTAGGTAGGGAAGGAAGGTTTGGTAGTGCAAGGAGAGGGTCAAGGGTGGGAGTGGGAGGAGAGGGGGGGAGAGGGTAGAGGGTAATCAAAAGCTTGGTACATGGACTTCTTGAGTGAATACTGATTGGGAAGCTATTAGTTAAGTCACTGCTTAAGAAGCAACTTTTACGATTCGTTCGTAGTCGAGACATTTCTTTCTAAACTCCGGCCCAGACCGTAATCAGCGTCCTCGAATACGGTAAGAATTACGGTATGGACTAACACCCAAATTTTTGTTAATGAATGAATCATACGAGCTGCCTGTTGGGGCAAAGGTTCGGAAGCCCCGAATCAGTATCTGCATAAGTAAATCGTTGCAACTCCCCTGAATTTTTTTGCATTTTTTTGAAAGAAGGGCAAAATTGGCTAAAATTCACAAAAGAGAATCGTACTTGCACTTCTCTGAAGCAATACTTTCTGCAAGAAATAACAAACTAAATCTGCCGTCCAGGTGGCGCATTATCTTGAATAACGGTAATATTAAAACGGCTTTTGTGTTGGATTAACGTTAACTATCGTCGAGATTAGAGTCGCAGCACACAAGCACATGTGTTCGATAGCATATGTTATGATTGATAGGCAGAAGGAAGTGTCATAATTGTCTCGAATCACTCTCGATTATCGCCTCTCTTCTCGCAGCCAACCGCCGTCAGCATTGTAAACAATAATCGTCAGAACACATGCACAAATCCCGCGCTCGGTGTGATCAAGCTAGCGGGATTTGAGAATGATCTGTTTATAGTGGGTCAAAGCTCAAAAGAGGTGAGATGCCAGGGACAATAAAAGAGCTTTAGAGTTGTTAAAACTGAGAATGCTTGAAATTTAACAAACAAAAGCGGTAGTCAGAAAAACTTTTGATTCTGGTTCTAGGACATATTACCTTTTGACTAAATATCTTTGAATGGAAAAGTAAGCCTAGTACACAACATGCAGATGTAAAATGCGCCTATACAGTCAAAATTCAATGCAAAAAATTTTTATTTTCAACTCCCAAATCATTCACGATATAAGGCAAAATAGTTATAGCTCCATTCATGATCATGTATTGCAAACCCTGAAATGACTTGTGCAGTTCTTTTGTTTGGAAAAATTTTTTCATTGAATTTTTCTTTTTTTATGATATACGTAGACTCAAAATTAGAAGAAAAAATCTGTTGAGAGCAGCACACTTTATACTCTCTTCTTCCATTGTAAGAAGAGAAGTGCATTATATGCATTTTTACTAGGCAACTGATTTGGAACTCGAAGATTAAAAAACGCAGTTCGAATTTTTTTCTTTTTTCGCTTGCACGGTGCTGATTTTATGTAGTTCGCAAATTTTTTATTTGGGTAAACATAACTGCCAAGTGAAAACTGCACCTAACGTTCCACTTTCGTTTTATAATGTACTGAAAGGTGCATTCTGCTTACTTAGTTATGTCTAGCTTGAAATCTGGCACTTTTCCATTCTGTGATTTTGTGAGAAAAAACATAGACAGTAATGTTTCGAGGAGAAGTTTTTAATAAAACTGCCATTGTTATTTTTCTGCAATGCTCATTTAACACATTGACGACGATTTGGACCACCGGTGGCCACATCCCTTACAAAATCATATCCCTCCCAGGCCTAGTATTTTTTCCACAGTGCAGCATTTTCTAAAAATTCTTGCATTTTTGGAACCTGTAGGCTTCATAGTACAAAAAATGGCTGTACTTGCTTGCAAAACATTTTTATATCCCGCAAATAATCACAAAACTGTTCCGCGCCGAAAGTGTTGTGCAAAATCGCGTCGTCCCACACCGCCGCCACGCAAAATTAGGCGTTTTCGTCAAAGGGTTAAACGATAGCTTGAAATCCGCAAAGCCATTAGCGCCATCCTGTAGGCACACTACTGGCACCTGATTAGTATCTCGCTGGCTCTTTGCCGGCGTTCTGCTG